TAAAGTTGAAATGACCTAATCTTACATGCCAACGCATAGATTTATCAACATTAGAAGCAGAAGATACAAATGCAGAATTTTGAACAGGTAATGATTTGTCAACAAGATTTAAGCGAAATATTCTATTATTTAAATATCCAAAGCCAGTAAACATTCCACCCTTAGAGAAAACAAACTTATCCGACTCAATAACTTGTTTAAAACCAGCAGAATTCAAACAACTAGAACTAACAAGATTCTTGCGAATCTTGGGAACAAACAAAACATCAAATAACTTAATTGTCTTTCCAGAAGTAAATTCAAGACACACGACACCTAAACCACAAATAGGAATAAAAGAATCTTCTCCCATTTTCAGCACCGACCCATCTTCAAGCGGAGTTAATGATTTAAACATCCGTTTATCCTTGCATACATGGTTCGTTGCTCCGGAGTCGATCCACCAAGCAACATCATCATCCTGCACATAGAACGATTCAGGGATAAATGAAACATAATAAACATAATTCTGATTAGAATTATCAAAGTTAGTCAAAAACTGACCTCCTTTAACTTGGGCCGAAGACCCGTTCACTTTCCCATTGGCTCCACTGTTTCCAGCACCATTGTTTCCCAAATTCACATGACAATCACGCTTGCAATGCCCAACCTGATTGCACCTCCAACAAACCAGATCCTTTCTCTTTTTTTTGAGTTGCTTGGGACATGTTCCTGCTTACGTTTGCCATGTCCTTTGTGGTTCTGTTTCCTTGGTTTGTTTTCAACCATATGAATCGACGGCTGTCTAGGTTCAACTTTTCCTTTGGGTTTTTCAGATTTGTCACTTTCCTTCGCACGAAGAGATTCTTCAATATGAATGTGACTAGCAAGTTGAACCAAAGACAGTTCCTCCTTTTGATGTTTCAAGTTGTGTTTGAAGTCTTTCCAGGATGGAGGCAGTTTGTCAATGATGGTTGACACAACAATGGACTCATCCATATTCATACGGTGTAGTTTAAACTGACCATATATGCCAAGGAGTTCATTGAATTGTTCAGTAACAGACATTAAGTCGTCCATCTTATAATTGTTAAAGTCACTGACCAGAAACTTCTTGCTAGAAGCATCCTCGGTGATATACTTCAACTCAAGGGTGTCCCACAACTCCTTGGCACACAAGGCTTCACTATGGATATCAAATAAAGCATCATACATATTGTTTAGAATTTGACCTTTGCAGATATAGTCATCGTTGTCCCACTTCTGTCTCCTTCTTATCTCTTCAATAGTCTCAACAACACCTTCATCTGGCTCCGCTGGTCTTGGAGTAGTCAGCACGTATGCGACTTTCAGAGTAGTCAGCATGAAGTGCATCTTCTTCTTCCAGCGCCTGAAGTCAACACCTTCGAACTTCTCCAGCTTTGCAAACTTAGTGGTCATCTCGCAGATTGAGTCACCCATCTCCAGGAACAGTAAATATTAGTTCGATTGTTAGGAAATTTAGGGTTTGTGGTGGAGATCTGGATACCAACTTGGATCGTGATATCACTTTCCAAACTGATATTTCTACCCTATGTCTGGGTTACAAGAAATTCAGCCTAGGATAATCCAAGTGGAAACTTTCGATTCTAGGCACAGAAATCATAAGCCAATATGCTAAAGGATTCTGTGAGAGTATGATGAAAACGAGAGCTTAAGATTGTATCCCTCTTCTGAAAAGAAGAGTTGTTTATATAATAAACGACATTAGGGTTGGGCCGCTATGGATTCCTTTGGAAGCAAGTCAAGGTAATCTGTATTTTAATGAGGATTTAGGGTTACCAAAACTAACGAGTTTCGTTAGTTTTACCATAATCACCCTCAGCGGGACCCTAGCCAGGGGCTCTGCCCCTTGGACCCCGCTAGGGGCGCTGCCCCTAGACCCCGCCAAAGGGGTGCTGCCCCTTTGGAAATCCCGAACCTAGGGGCGCTGCCCCCGGACCCCCGACTAGTCGTCGAACCGGCTACTAATTTGATCTTATACATGCGTGCACTTCGCACCAACCCGTACACATATTAGAAAACAAATTAAGAAGCCCCTTAGCTCACATGCTAATTCCAGTTACATAAAATGACATGGTGCCACTAAAATCACCAACATTGTTTGGGCCTTAGTGGCCATGTCAATTGGGGTCGAATGGTCCAGACCTGGATGAGTATTTGATTTCCAGGTCTTAGGGGTCCTACTTGAGGTAGTGTCAGTCTGAGTCATGGGACTCAATGAGAGAGCGGTTGGGATGAGCGGCTTGAGGATTGCAGTCTTGAGATTGAGTGATCGTCCTATGGCTTATGATGACATTTTCTATGAAGAGAATTACGTTCTCCCAGCTTTCTATGTTAGGGAGGGAAGGGAGACCAAGCGTATGATTGTAGAGATCAGGGAACGACCCATCAGGGGAAACTGGATGGTTGTGGTATTAACGAAAAAGGTGGAAATGCACGAGAGGATTTGTGTGGTTTGATCGTCTCTAGAAAATTTTCATGTTTGGAAAGAGAGTCATTTTAGTGGAGACTGTACAAGATGAGGACCATGGGTATGCCTTCCTTGAGTTCAGTTAGAGCGTGTGTTGGCATGTTGTTCGAGGTGATTAGGAGAAGTGGATTGGTAACGACAACTCTCATTTTCTATGTTATATCTCGACTATGAGGATGATGCATCATGTTTTATGATTGTGTATCGCGATGGAGAGAAGGTTAGAGATTCAGAGGCAAAGTGTGTGGTAGTCCATTTGTTCTTAGGTGGAAAATCGGTGCTACGAATGGGCTATCAATATTATTGCTTGTGCATTTGGATGGGATTCTTGACGATAGAGGCGGTTACGACCATAAAGTTTTTGAGGTCTCCATCTGAGATTCGGAATGTCTTTGAGTTGTTCGGTCCTTATGTGGGAGATTATCTTGCATTGTGTTATACAGTCCAAGAATTAGGGATGGTATGTATCTAGTTGAGTCGGTTTGAAGTGTGGTTTTTCTATATCGTCAGTTGGTGATAGCTCGAACCCAAGTGCGGGAGAACTGGGCATGCTACTTGAAAGATCAGCGATCTGTTTAAGTTTGTGGGTTGCAGAGATCGACAGTTTGGGTATGCGAGACTTTGGTTCGAGTCAAGGGTGTCGAGCAAGTTGCCATCAAATATATGTGCTCTAAAATACATTAGTTGTTTTCACGATAGGAAGCTATTGGTCAAGGAGCTCAATGTAGCCAGTAGTCCCTTTTGGGAAGGCAGATGAACTATTCAATAGGTGGTTAGGTCGCTCAGGTTGAGCATCAGTTGTTGAAGGATTTGTCAGCTCAATGTATAAATTGCTACCTACAGTCTAATTTAACCATTGGTTGATCTGGCAATCAACTTCAGGGTTGGGTATATGTAATTCTTCATGTGTTTAGTTCAGTAGAAAACTTCGGATTATTGGGTTGTTGTCAGTGCATTCTCCATCGATGGTTGTCCTCGTTCGTCATCAATGGGTGGGGATGCTTCGAAGGTTTTGATCTGTATAACTAGAGGTCAATGATTGTGACAACCAATCGTCATGTTCTGTTATGGTATATCATGGCTTCTAGGTATGTTGTCCTGAATTGCTGGATTGTGCAATTATGGTCTATAGCAGACTCAAGTTTGTTTTGGTAGTAGGAAGAACATTTAATTGATTATCTATCTGTTTCAATTGTGGGTATTTTAGGTTCTTTGTCATCAGTTGGGATTGTAGAAGGATGTGGAATTGTATCAAGGGAAGGTACTTTGGATACGACAATCTTTGTGGAGAGTAGTAAAGTGCTTTATCTGGTTTCGGGTGTGAGCACCAGATATCGTTTGATCATGGGATCTTAGTCCAGCAAGCTCAATGTGGTGGTGATTGGGTAGGAAGACTATGGGATGGCTAGGTAATCCAGTGATTATGAAGTTATCATAATGTAGATGAATCCAAGTGAATGATAGTCACTTGGGGCTATCAGGGATAGTTCCAAGTGCGATCCACTTTAGAATTTGTGCTCATGTTAGAGTTTGGATTGGTATATCTGGAGGGAGCGTCAGGGTTCCTTGAGGTTGGGAAGAATCCAAGATAGGTCAGGATTGTGAGTGTGGAGTAGACTACCGTGTGGTCGGTGGAGCGTTGAACGGCTAATCGGGTGGTGCGGATAAGATATTGTTTGATTAAGGATTAACTGGGAAGGCCAGTCAACATGGTATCATTTTAAGTCAACTAGAGAGCCAGTTCTGGCTGCGAGATGGTTCAAGGTTAAGAAAGGAATAGTGTTCTTTGGTCAGTGATGTAAGACTGCAGAGAAACCGTAGCATTCACCAGGTTAGTATGCGATTGTAGGAGTTATGTAAGACCGGAGAGCATCTGTAGCATTCACTAGGTTAGTGTGTGGTTGTGGACGTGATGTAAGACTGCAGAGCAGCCGTAGCATTCACCAGGTTAGTGTGTGGTTGTGGAAGTGATGTAAGACTGCAGAGCAGCTGTAACATTCAGTAGGATAGGATGCGGTTGTGGAAGTGTTATAAGACTGCAGAGCAGCCGTAGCATTCACTAGGTTGGTAGGCGGTGGTAACAGTGATAGAAGTCTATTACTTGGCTCGTGGCATTCTCTAGGATGATTAGATTATCACAGGGTTGGGTGAAGGGTTGTGAATGGGACTCAACATCTGTAATACTTGGGAAATCGTAGGTTGGGTTGGGGCCAAATGTGATGTGAGAACTCGGTTCGGTTTGTAGCCATCACTGGGGTTAAGCGGACTTGGTGATCGTTCGAGCATTGGTTGAATTGATCTTCATTGGGAGTGATTGACTAATGGAGTTGTGTTAGCGGATGGTGTCACACCCTCGGCCGAGGCGGCGGAATACGTCGGGCTGTGCGACTTAATTCATGAATCACAAGCAAATTGAATATACATCACAAGTTACAACAATAACAACATAGCAGTTACATTACACTTTAAGATTTGAATACAAAGTTCATAATAATAAATTCATAAAGTTGCCTTAACAGATAGGCCGATTTAACAAAAACTAGATAAACTAGGTCGCCTGAAATCCATGACTAATCTTCTGACTGAAAGCTCGTTTCGTGATACCCTAAGAATACATGAAATTTTGAGGGTCAACACAAGGTTGGTGAGAGTTTACAGGTTTTCTGCTAACCGCAGTAATGATACTTTAAAAGACTAAAAAGTATTCCTTTTGTAGTTTAAACCATATTTGGAAATGTTTGATAAAAGAGAAATTGTAAGTAAATTCATACTTAAAATATTTGATAGACAGAGAAATCATAAGTAAATCTGCACTTAAAATGTTTGGTAATCAGTGAAACCGTGAGTAAATTCATACTCAAAATATTTGATAGACAGAGAAATCATAAGTAAATCCGCACTTAAAATGTTTGGTAATCAGTGAAACCGTAAGTAAATTCATACTTAAAATGTTTAGTAATCAGAGGAACCACGAGTAAATCTATACTCAAAATGTTTCGTACTCAGAGAACCGTGAGTAAATCCATACTCAAAATGTTTGGTACTCAGAAAACCGTGAGTAAATTCATACTCAAAATGTTTGATAATCAGAGAAACCGGATCCGTGGTTTCTAGATTATGAGATCTAGTTAATGCTTATAGTGAGTCCTATAACCGAGCTATGTGACTGTACCTACCCCTACGACGCTTCATTGGACATCGTAAAACTGTTTTAGATATTTATCACCTGCTTCGATTGATCGGTCGAGGTTGTAGCTAGCAACCACGGGTGGGGGTGTCAACCCGTATAGATCTATACATACGTATCTCAACTCCGAAGATTAACGGTTATAGTGGTGTGGGTCTTCTAAGTGTTTGTTTGCACTTAGGGTAATGAATAATGTCTCACTCATAAGGCCCTTAACTAGAGTTTGTCCTGAAAAAACGGTTATACTTGATAAGAAAATCCATAAAAATGTGTAATGCTCTTTCAAACAAGTGGTAAATCTCATGTTGGTGTACACTACATAAATGATTTCAAGATAAGAAAACTGGTATATGTATGTTTGGTATGAACATGAAATACTACAAAGGTGGTAACTTTTTATGACATAAGTTTTATAACATATTTTGTCATAAAATCATGATATTTTGTATGCAAAAATCATTTGTTATCTCGACTAGTTGTATTATAAAAAAAACAACCGTAACGTATTTACATCAAACATATTTATCACTAGTTTATTTTTATATGAAATATTATTTAATAAAATAATATTTATAAACCAGTTTTGAAATCGGTAAGTGTTTGTCAAGATCAATAAATATATATAGCACATGTATTCTCCCCCAAAGCGTAAAAATATTAAAAAGGGGTCGTAAACACTCACCCTTGAAGCGTGAACAAGGCTCGAGGGTGTAACTTGTCGTGAAAGCCGTTTTGTGACATTTCATGCCCTTAAAACGAGTCACCGGGTCTATTTATATTACCTAATAAAACCAATAGGGTAGTTTTGATATTAATTATTAAATATTGGGTGGTCTTTGCTAAATAAATTCTAGGGTTTGATTTTGCCAAAAGCATCCTCCATGGACTGATCTTGCAGACAGTTCTCAAACCAGGGGATAAACATGTACCTTTGAAGCTGATTTAGAGCTTCAGGACCGAACTTGTTAAGGCTTCTGGAGGAGGGGCCTAATCTGTTAAATTCTAATGGGACTTTGACCTTTATTGTTGACTTATTTCACAGAAGGGGCTAAGTCGTAACATTTGGAAACCACAGGGTTTAAATTAAATAAAGTATAATGGAGTTTGAACAGATCGTCTTCCTCATCTGGACGTGATTCACAGACGAATGGAGGAAAACGAGACCCATCTGCCGGGTCTCTTGGCCTTGGTTGTTCGTAAGGGCTAAAACATGAATGATGGTGATGGAGAAAGGGCTTACAGTGGGTAGGCGGTGGTCGTGAGTGGTTAGCGTCGGCAGCAGCAACAACGGTGGCGTCCCACAACAGCGAAGACCTTCTGTGGTGGTCGGAGGTTGCTCCGGCAGCCTTCGGCCTGGTTTTTGATTGGGTTCTGATCTAAATCAACGGAGAAAACGAATGGGAGTGGTGTTTGGTGGTGATTTTCAGTTGAGAGGAGGGGGTATAAGGTGGTGGTCGATTTACTCATAGTGGTGGAAGGTGAATGCTGATCGGAGTTTTCATGGTGGCAGCTACCCCAAAAGAAGGATGGCAAGGAGTGGTGATGGGTGGCACACAGCGGAAGCTCCCATGCTCCGTCCCTGGGTTTCGTCTGGCGAGATTGACGAGAGAGGGACGAAGAAGGTGGCAGATGGTCGGAGGGGTGGAATTCCGACAGCAGCAACAGCGGTGAGTGATGAAGTGGTCGTCGGCGATGGATGGCAGTCGATTGTGGTCAACGGGTTTGCCCGTTTTCTCCTCTGTTTCGAGCGGGTTCCGGCGAGAGGGAGAGGTTGTAAGAGGCGGACTACAATGGGGTGGTGTTGGGATGCTTTCTGATCAAGAGGAGGTGGCCTAAGAGTAGCGGCAGTAGGCGGTTCACGGTGGTGCAATGCTGTTTTTATGGTGGGGATATTGTGGAACTTCAAATCGGGATTCCTATTTCACCAACGATTTGAGCTTTTAAGATAAGGAATAGAAAGAGATTTATCAGATAAGTTAAAGGGATAACATTTGAGGGGTAAGACAAATTGGCTTTTTAAGATTCGTTTTTGCATCAGTTATCAATGGAGGAAAAAGGATTAAGTCATATGCAGACTGCATAATGCAGTCGTATGCCGTGAGGAAGAAGACACAATCTTCCTAGTTTCGGCATAAATGGTCCTTGTAATTTGGCACTCTAACCAATCCCACCTAATCTCATATATTGTCATCAAATTAGTTTTAGGAAATTACAAATCTACCCCTAGACTAATATGCTTTCATGTGAAAGAAATTTATTTAAATAAACATCGTATTATTACTTTTATTTTATTTATTCATGTTGTTATGTTTATTTAAGTATTATTTTCTATTATTCTTTTAGATAAATTGAGGGGTACTTGGCGAATAATAATTTTAAGTTCAACGGCTCCGAAACCCGAACAAATTTATTTATTTATTTATTTTTTCGAGTTTGTAAATATTTTGTTAAAAATATTTTAACTATAGCATTGTGTATATTAGACTTTAGTATGAGTCCAAACGCTTTCGTAATTTTCATCTGATGTGCGCAAGTGCCTCAACTGATCAATTCGGTTTATGAAATCGGATAAAGGTAGTGTTATACCGGTGTGGTTTCTTAAAACGGTCATATCTTTTGCACACGAACTCCGTTTTTGGCGTCGTTTATATATTCGCGATCAGGAAAACATGTACTACGAGTCTAGAATATTTTCTTTGTTTATAGACGCTTAATACAATATTTCAGTTTTTCCGTCGTTAACCAGAGTTACAGTTTGCGTTTTAAGTTTCGATCAATATTTTCTATAATTTGAGATAAGATATAATTTCATATATTATTTTATTTGAAATGACACTATATTTCAACTAAAATATGCATTAAAATTCAATCAGTCAAGATACAAAAGGGTCTGCGGTGAACTGACCGTTTATAGATTCAGACCTAAATTCTGGGATGTCACAGATGGACCAAGACCACCTGTACATGTTCTGTTTTTTAGTCTAGAGCTGATTTTATTTTCGTTGAGGATTTTTCGGTACCGGTAAGTGGTCGGGGCATATATGTTTCGGATATCCATAAACTTATTCAGGATGGATACGTTTTTGTGGTTCGGGTTATGAAGTTGAGTCATTGTGGGAATGTTTTGAAATCGTTCTGTCTTCCTGGGAGTCAGACATCGATCAAGGTTTTCAGTTTCAGGTTTTGTGGTTGGGCACTCGTTGACTCAGGGCAAAGTTGAAGTCCGTTCTTCGATAGGGCTGGTGATTTTCTGTTATTTTGGGTCCGACGATAGTAAGGTGGTGGTTATCGGAGTGAGGTAAGTCTCCCAATCATCTTTGGGATTCAGGAAGTTCAGTCAGGATCGTTGGGTTCGACACAGGAGATAGTAAGGAATGATTTCGAGGAAGAAATCTAATTTAAGTGGGGGAGAGTTGTAACACCCTGTTCCGGGCCATTCTGTGATTTAGGGTCGGGGGCCAGAAATCGATTTTCATAAAATCTTTGAGGCCTTAAAGAGGTGAAGTTAGTCCTTGAGAAAGAGGTAGTGATGGTTTGGGAGATCAAACCTTTGAATTGTGTTTTGGGCCGAATAGTAGAAAAAGGAAAGTCATAAGTCGGGGGCCTTGCATGAAATATGGATTTTGTTTGAGAATTTTCTAGTCCAAGATACATAGATAATATTGTGGGGCTTTTCATCACCTTTCTGTGGATATAAAGAACGTCGAAATCGGAGTTAGAACGAAGAAGTTATGGTCGTTTGAAATTAGAAGGGTTTTTAGGTTGAGCCTAGTACGTTGGGCGTACTAGGCGAGAGGTGATCGAGGAGTATAATACGATGCCAAACCCTAATTTTTAGGGTTTCACTCCTATTTAAACGCATTATCTCACCCTTGGACCTCCTATAATCAGCCTTCACTCCCTTTTAAGCCCTGATATCGAACCCTAGCCTGGAGAGTGAAGATCTTGGAGTCTTTTGGTGATATTGGTGCATTCTTTTTGAGGAAGAAGGTCTTTGAAGAAGGTCTTTGAAGAAGGTGGTGTTGCACGCAAGCTTGTAGATCTAGAAACTCATTCATCTTGTGTATCTTTTGAAGGTATAAAGTCCATACCTTGCTGATGTTCTTTATAGATCTCTTTAGATGGGTATTTATGAACTTTTGTCCCAAAAGCTTGGACCTTTGTGAGTATGAGGTACTCCAAAGCTTCTTGGCTGTCCTTTTAGATGTTTTTGAGTGCCTTGATCCATAAAAATGGTTGCTTAATCGTTTCCTTTGGCCCATGCATGAGATAAGTAACCTTGAGTGTTGTACAAGTTAGAGTTTTGAGGTTTGAGCCTTCTTTATTCATGCAAAGACTTAAAGTCAGAGAATTTATGGGTCAAGACATTATTTGGGATCAAATCTGAGAAGTGGACTTAATGGCTTAACTGATTAAACAATTCATGTTGATTTAGGGTTGGCTGCGGAGTACACTGGGCGTACCCAGCTCGTACGTTGTGCGTACTGGCCAAAGAAAGTGTACGTTAGGCATAAGTCTGAGTACGTCGGGCGTACTCAGCTTCCACTGAATTTTGTTGACTTTTGGGCTTTGGGCCATTGTAGGCTTTTGGGTGTCTTTGGGCAGGGCTCGGTTATGGTTTACGACCTGATTATTAAATAGGATATTATCTGATGATATTTAGTGTGGAGGTTTCCCAGATCAGCAGTTCGAGCATTTATCTGGTTGTTTAGCACTTTTAGGTGAGTCTTCTCTCGGTGCTCGTGAGTCGAAGGCACCAATGGCGGCTCACTAAATTATGTATGTAGGATGCTAGTTGTCTTTGTGACTCTTGCATGTTTGTATGAGCATGTGTGGTAGAATAATTGTATCTGTGATGACCAGCTCGGTCTAGCTGTTATTATTGTGTTATGTTGTTTATATGTGACTGAGACTGCTGATAGTCTCCAGGGTTGCTGATAACCCACCGGGCATGCTGTTAGCCCACTAGGACTGCTGATAGTTCCCAAGGTTGTTGATAACTCATAGTTGTTTATTTGTGATGTGTTGTGTGTGGTATTTTGGGGAACTCACTAAGCATTGTGCTTACGATTTGTAGTTTACATGTTTCAAGTTTTCTTATATTAAAGGAGGGACACGGCTTGATTGCATCACATCAATGGAGGACTTGTGTACTTGATAACTTTTAATGATACTCTGATAAATGTTTTAAGATCTTGCAGTTGTGAATTAAATAAATACTTAAAGTTTTAATCGAAAATTTTGGGTGTTACACTAACCAACCAAATACAACCCTAATTAATAATTGGATCATAAACCATAATCTACACTTTAATCAACTAATCCCGACCCCAATGGTAAAAGACCATTTTACCCTTCCCTCAATTGGCCCAAAAACCGTGGCCCAAACTCCATGGCACAAAAGCCGAATAATGGCCCAGTTCCTAAAGGACACTTAAAGCCTAAAATGGGCCCAAATAAAAAGGCCTAATCCCTAACAATGGCCCATAATCAGAAAGACTTTTGGCCCAACAAAGGCCCAAAACCCTAAAGTCCAAAGATGGCCCAAACCACAAAATCCGAAGACCAAGCTGTGAACACTAAGCGTTCTAGAAGTACGTCCGGCGTATAGGGTGGCTACGTTTGATCGGGGACTCATATGCGTATGCACAGCGTACACTTGCGTACGCCCCATGTTAAGCCATTTTGCCATTAAGTTCTTATTGCTTGCTACCAAACGACCATATTTCAGATCCAAACCTTGGAAGCGTCTTAACCCATAAAGCCATTAACTTAATACCTTTGAATGGCTCAAATGAACTCAAACCCTAGATTTAGCATCCTACTTTCACCAAATGGACATAAATTCATGCATGGTTGATCCTCAACCATCAAGATGCTAACTTTATAAACTAGTGATCTTAGAAACACCAAGAGGAGCAACCCATAACTTCTGGAGTGGTAAAATTCCACTATATCTCATTCATGGGACCAAAGGTGACCAAAACTCCATAATAACTAGATCTAAGCATAGAATAAGCAAGTTCCATGTTTTATACCTCAATGAAGCTAGAACTGATGAGTGAAATCTAGATCAAGAAGCTCTTTCTTGATCAAAGCTCCTTCTCCAAGTTTCTTCTTCTTTAAGGTTCACCAACACTCACTAAAACACACACAAAAGGGCTCAAAACTCTCTAGATGAGCTAGGCTTTCGAAATGAGGCTCAAAGGGGCAACGGAGGCTGGGAAATGATAGAACCTTGGGACATAATGTTGCTTAAGTAGAGTCCAAACCCTAAAAATTAGGGTTTGCACGCCAGCGTACGTACCCAACTCCCAAAATTACGAAAATGCCATTTCGGCCCAATTTTGCAATCAATTCACATCCAAGGTCTAAAATTAAATAAATTTTCATACTTAGGGTTTAAAATGAAAATAACACAACACTACTAGAAAAATTAAAAATACCTACGAATTTTTCCTACGGAAATATTCCGTCGGAAAATACCGACGGAATACCTACGGAATTCCGACGGAAAACGATGCCCTAAATTACTGACAATATTGTGACGGAATACCTACAGAATACCGACGGAAGACAAATCCGTCGGAAATCCGTCGATAAATACCGACGGAAAAGCTACGGAACTGACAAAAAGACTTATTTGTTTAATTTCCGTCACAAATCCGTCGCTAAATAGTAATTTATTAATTTTTTACTATTATTATTATTATTATTATTATTATTTATTATTATTATTATTTCCGTTATTTTTATTATTATGTCCTACGGATTACCTACGAATTTTTTTTATTTTCGACATTTCGGGCACCGGACGTCGTTTTTTTTCGCTTCGTTTTTTTCGCATCTCTATTATAAATGATTATCTATAGTTTTCCCAACTTATACCTGATACCTAGATGTTTATAGTGGCGTACTCATTTTGATCGGTTACACATTTCACACTTTAAAATAACAATTACATTAACATATGTACATATACATACATACACATACACATTAACATATCCATTCATATATGCCCATAGAAACGTAAATTCATATATACCCATAGAAACATACATTCACACATACATTCTTA